CTTAAGGAAGAGAAGAGGAGGCTAAAGGAGGAGATTGAAAGGCGAAGGGCAGAAGCTGCTGAGAAACGGCAGAAGATGCCCGAAGATGGCTTAGCAGAGGACAAGAAACCTTTCAAATGTTTCACTCCCAAAGGTTCATCTCTCAAGGTATCTTTCCCCCAGAAAATCCCCCTTTAATACCGCTGCTATAGTGTCTTAGAAACTTGACTTTAGCCTTTAAGTTATTATCCCACGCCTTTGCTCCATTCATCTTTTTGCTCCTTCGTTCAGCTATTTCACAGCTTTTCTTTGTTTTCAACATAGGCAAAAGAGAGAAAGAAAGTGGGGAAATGTTATCTGTTGTTTATTAGATGCTTTGGTACACGTTAAAAAGGCCATCAGCAATTATCTCTGGATCTCACTGACCCATGCTCCCCAGCTGCCTCGTTGCTTTGTGCAGTTGGAAAGGGAAACATTTATAAAATGGCAAATACATTGTGAAGGTTATGCTGTTTTTCACACTCGCCAATCATTTTTTCTCTGTCATTATTAAAGCAGGGCAGCTGGAAATGGTACCGTTCACATTTGAAAACTATTGTAGGGGAGGAGCTGCGACTTGGAAGGGTCCTTTGCCAGGATGAGTTTGGTCCTACTACTGCCTTCAGGGAGCATAGCTCCTAATCGACAGACAGAAGTGCTGACAGATGAGAACGAGTGGGAAAAACTGACTTAAGGGAATAATGGGTTGAGATGGGAAAAGAGCACAGACTCAAGAAAGTACTGTGATCTACATTCAATCTGCCATTGCTTTATTACATTTTCTGTTCATGAGAGTTAACATGCATTGAGCTCCCGGCACAGTTAATATACTCAATAAGCATGTGGATATATGAATGAATGACTCTTCAGAGATAGGAACTATTAACCTTTTTATTTCACCTTCATTTTCCATCAACCTTGTTAGGTCACAAAGCATTGACAATGCGCAAAGCCAATACAGAATCACAGCCAGGCTCTAGCTGGTCAAAATGTGTGTGTGTGTGTGTGTGTGTGTGTGTGTGTGTGTGTGTGTCTGTCTGTCTGTCTGTCTATAAATGTGTGTGAGGTTTTATCACTTGGCATATGAAAATGACCAAAAAACCGTTACATTTTACAGTTATTACCTGTTTCACATGAAAATCAGCATGTTTTATCCCTAAATACCCTCACTTACTCTTCATGTACTTTTGGGCCCCTTCATAGTTCTGACACATCTCAAAGAAACTACTGATGGGCAAGGTCTTTTTCAGGGGCAATCCAAACTAAGCCCCGGGGAATGTTATTATTTAATACAGACCATGGACGTGGGATCTCAGAGCTGACAGAATGAGGAGCGGGCGGCTTTGCAGAGTAAGTGAGCTTCATTTACGGACGCCAAAATTTGAATTTCACAGAATTTTTTTGTGTCACAAAATATTACCCTTCTTTTGATTTTTTTTCAACCATTTGACAATATAAAACATTCTTAGTTTGAGGGCTATGTGAAAAGCAAGGCCTGAAAACCAAAACCGCGCTCCGTTCAGGCTACCTCCGTGCAGCCACTGGTGTCCTTTCTGTTCCTGACTCATCAATATTGAAAGAAAACCACATTTTTTTTAAAAAAAAATAGATTTTTATTGATTTCAGAGGGAAGGAAGAGGGAGAGAGATACAGAACATCAATGATGAGAGAGAATCATGTATCGGCTCCCTCCGGCACACCCTCTACTGGGGATCGAGCCCGCAACCCGGTTATGTGCCCTTAACCGGAATCGAACCTGGGACCCTCCAGTTCACAGGCCAACGCTCTATCCCCTGAGCCATAACAGCTAGGGCCACACTTTCTCTTTCTATCTTCCTCTAAATCCCACCCACACTGAACGTTCCTTGGACAGTCTTGGTAACACGAGGAAAATGGTAGTGACCTAGACTTCTCATTTCTTTTCTTTTTTTAAATATATTTTATTGAGTTTTTACAGAGAGGAAGGGAGAGAGATAGAGAGTTAGAAACATCGATGAGAGAGAAACATCGATCAGCTGCCTCTTGCACATCTCCTACTGGGGATGTGCCCGCAACCCAGGTACATGCCCTTGACCGGAATCGAACCTAGGACCTTTCAGTCCGCAGGCTGACGCTCTATCCACTGAGCCAAACCGGTATCGGCTAGACTTCTCATTTCTACTCTCTTTGTTCAGGAGAAACTACAATCCATCCTCCTCCTTCAAATATCTCCTCTCAACCAGGTTTTTCAACTTACTTCTCTAGTCTTTCCATCAACCAGACTCCTGGGCCCCCAGGGGGCCATTTAGCTACTTCCTCTAGGAGAGAGGCATGTGTGAGCAGTCAAAGTAGATGCATTTGCAAAAGCAAAACATTTTAAACTTCTATACAACAGAGACATGCTTTCAGAAACAGACAGTTTCTTGCCTTGCCCCATAGTGTGTGCTTTGAAGAGCTTGTGTGGCTCTGATTTCGTTATGGGTGGGTGTCCTCTAATTTCCTAGCCTGTTGCTGGTAGAAGTGGGCTTCTTGGGATGCCACAGGAATAAGAGTTTCCTGAGGCCCCCACGGGAGGATGAGGCATTGTGGAACGCTTTAATGATGAGATACCATTAAGGGAGTTCACCTTCAGGATCCCATCTCCCTAAGTCCCACCGTGAAAAAGTCCCATTTTGTCTTCAGCAGAGCTAGGATCAACGCCACTGCCCAGAGCCTCTGCTCCATGTTGCAGCCCAGTCCAGTCCAGCATCTGGCTAGCTTAGCTTGTGTTCCAGCTGCAGTCCATTGCAGGTGGGGTCCGCATGGCCATGAGCTATGCGACTGCTCAGGCCACATGGCAGGCTAGCGTAGATCATGGAAAAAGCAAGTGTCAGGAAGCAAGAGCGAAGCAAGTGGAACAAGAGAGAGAGTATTTCTGTTTGGGGATTTTAACCACGGCCTTATCCAATTAATTCTTCATGATTTCATACGCTTACAGTGGCTCCACCCCCTGTAGACAATTATCTTTTTTTCCAGGTTAGACTGACAGGCAAACATCTTCCCTATGTCACCCCCGACTTCACTGCGCATGCATCCATCTTCCCCTTTGTTCGATCCCTTTCCGCAGTGAACTGCAGGGAATGGACCAATGGTTCCCTGGGGAGTGTAAAGTTGCAGCTTCCTGGTGAAGCTGCCCAGATATCCATGCTTATAATGTCTGGCCTTCCCTTTGCTCCTTTCCCATTTTAATATCGATAACTAGCTAATTACAACAGTAACAGGTTCATATTCTACAATTGAATTTTTGCAATTATTGATACTCTTGGCCCTGCAACTTTTATAACTGGTCACAAGTTAGCATTCTAGAATGCCAGTGGGAAGAAAAACATTTCATATTATATTTGATCTCAAAATAGTATCAACTAATGTATTTTGTTAATTCTCATGACTTCGATTCATTGTCTGGAAAACCCTGAACCTGGTTGCTTGTAGTTCAATGTTGTTAGCAGTGATGTTTGATTTTTTTTTTTACATAATACATGCAAAGAATAAATTTTAAGTAAAATAAATTTAAAATTTTGTTTTTATTGTTATTGTTTTCATATGGTGGTGGTGGAGGGATAATGGAGTAAGGAGAAAGTAATAGTATGCTTTTTCTCCGAGCTTTATCCAGACAACACTGCTACCATTGGCCTTAGAAGAACCAATGTTCCTCATTAAAATTATACAGAACGTTTAATTTACATATTGTTCTATTACCTAGAGTCACCGAGTTCAGGAATTTTCCAACAAGAGTGCATCAGTAAATAGATGGTGACGCCGGACAAAATGTGATAATGAAGTCAAGCTGTATTAAATATTGTAGATAGGAAAGGAGAAGGTGGAATCTGAGAACCTCTGTAGTTTGAGTATATGTGATGGCCAAGGTTAACAAAATGATCCCTGACTCAGAATGATGCTGGAAGTGCTACCAAGAACAAGTCTCACATCTGGCACCACCCTCCACTGTGCTTCTGTCTGCTGGAAATGTCCTCTGCCCTTTAACTCGTGCACTCCCGCCCTCACTTTCATAAACTCATTTATAAAACTATGTAAATAATAAGCTACAAATCTCAGCTCAGGTATCAAAATATCTCAAAAGCTTCTCCAACCCTTCACCCCGCCTCCCCCCCAGGTAGTCACTTCTCCCATAGCTACAGCATTGTCCTATCCTTAATATGGTACCAGCATTGAATTTTAAATATTTTATTTCTAGGTTCTACTAGTCTCTCCTACTAAAATGTGTTCTCTCTAAAGAATCCAATACATCATTAGGTGTTGAACTTCATGTAGTAGGTTTTCAACATAATTTATTGGTTGGTTGTTTGACTGCAAGGCTGACAAGGTTAAAGGTAGGATGGATGGATGGATGGATGGATGGATGGATGGATGGATGGATGGATAGATAATATTAAAAGTTCCAGTGCATTGTGTGTATTCCAGCTTATTCAACTGGGAACTTTTTCTCTAGAAGTTTATATTAATTTAAAGTTCTAAGTTTATATTAAAATTTAAAAAATTAAGATTTAAGATTCTCTACATCCCATAATCTCAGGGACACCTATAGCACTTTCTTGGTCACAGCTGTTTGCTAATACTGGCAGGTGATGTTTGGCAGAGATTGTTTCCAGCCTGGAGTTGGGTATCATAAGGACTCAACAATATTTGCTGACTATAAAGAACATCTGGATTTAGGTGGTGCCGTTTCAGTAAAATATAATGTTTGATTTAGTAGCTTTAGTTTTAGCAAAAAGAAGTTCCTAGCTTTAAAAAACAAAAAATAATATATTAAAGACTAATGACCTGCCCACCTAGTGTCTATCCATCACAGTTTCTCTGGGTTTATTTTCCTGTTTCCCATTTGGGCTAATGGGGGCTTTGTGGGGGGGCCTCAGCCATCACTGATGAGCTGTGCCCCAGCCTCACTCCACCCCCACCCCATCTTCTACTTTCAGGGCTAATTAAGTTCAGCAATAGGCTTGACAGCTATCAAATCAGGAAGCCAGGCTAGGCCCTGAGTGAATAGTTCGCAGTCCCTGGTTATCTTTCTTGTTTGACCCTATTACATACCAAATATATGGTCAGAACATTGGGGAAGTTTTTCTTAATCAAAGAGCATGGTATATCTTTACCCTAAAAACATGTCCTAAAGGGTAACAGCATGCATTGTTTTTTAAATTGTTGCTAAGAAAGTAGATCTTAAAAGTTCCCATCACAAAAAGAAAAAAAAACCTTGTTGTCAGGTGATGGATATTAGCTAGACTTATTGGGGTGATCATTTTGCAATATATTCAAATATTAAATCATTATGTTGTACACCTGAAACCACTAGTAATATAATGTTACATGTCAATTATACCTTAATAAAGAAATAAGTAGAAAAAAATTTAAAGTATGCCAGGAGGCAAAAAGGAAATTATTGCTATGGTCTTGAAATGCAATTATTTTACCATTGATTTAAATTATCTCAAAGGCATTTTTACTCCATTTCTGTCTGGTCTCCAGTTTGCCTCCAGAACTTCATATTTCTCTCCACACTTTCTCTGTCCTCTGCCAATCTTCCCTTCATCTCTCAGCTCTCATGATCAAACACCTTATATGCATTTTCCTCTCTGGCACAGCACCCTAGTTAAAACTCTTTGACACTCTTTGGTGCTTTCCTTCACCAGGGTCAGGGACACTGTTTATGAGCTGAAAATATTAACTGTTGTTGTTTTTTAATTCCTAGATAGAAGAGCGAGCAGAATTTTTGAATAAGTCTGTGCAGAAAAGGTAAATGTGGTTGATTGTTCACTGGAGAATTACCAGCCATCATATGTATGGAAAGATTTTCTCTCATATCTCTATGTGTGTGTTTATTTACTTACCAGTGGTGTCAAATCAACTCATCAAGCGGCTGTTGTTTCCAAGATTGACAGCAGACTGGAGCAATACACCAGTGCCATTGAGGTGAGCGATGTCCGCAGGGTTATGCTCAGACAGGAATCAGCTCTGACTGTGTAAATGATCATAGAAACGTTTAGGACAATAAGCAAGTCTAATAACCACATGAGTGTTAGAACATTAATAATGCTTTATTATACTTGAAACTAGTTAGAGAGAAGAACAGTAATAAAGGTAAATTATAGAAGGGTTTTAAATAAATTATTGTTTACTACCTTCAGCCTGAGTATTCTTTAATGGAGGTGTTTTTCTTTTAAGGAATAGGCTTATTGATATTCAACTACGTTATTTATATGTTACTATGTGTATCTCCTAATATTAATTCCTTATAAAATATGTTCCTATATGTAGTTAAACAGGTCCCATGTAACCTTGGTTAATCCTTATTTGTCTATAAAAACTTTTATGTTCAAACAGTAGTAATATGAGTTAATATAAAGATGATTGCCAGCTAGAGTTTAATCACCATGAATTTCAAATTGATTATTTTAAGCTTATAGGATCATAGTTATATGCTTCTGTCTATTCCAACTTTTCCCCACAAAGTTGACCCAGGGGTTCTACCACATTTAGAAATAATGTATATTTCCAAGTACCAAAGCTCTAAGAAGGTAGGACACCATTAATCAATGTGTGACCCTACTTTTTTCTCCTTTGTGTAGACTTTAGGCACTGATTTTAGCCAGCCTCTATGTCAGAACATCTGCTATGAAGGAATTGGATAAGCTTGATTTGATTTCCTCCTCTCCTTTATACTGCAGAGTGGACATAAGTATAAAATAATTCACAATCAAATAAATTATGAAGGAATAAAAATGAGATCTGAATGATTTACCAAATGAATAACCAAGTCCTAATACTCAAGAGGTGATTTTCACAAGATTAAATGTCCACTAAAATATAAGACAAATTGCAGATAGTTATTTTCTGTGGTTACATTTATTATAGCTCTAAGAGGGTTGATGAAGCCAAGACTGTGGCTTCAGCCTTTACATGGTCCAGTGATGGTGCCACTCACCATGGCTGACCACCTTGACCACACAGGCCACCGGTTACAAAGCAGGACCAGGCAGGAAATTGCATGATTCTGGGCATGCCCGTCACTACTGCAGAAAAGTCTCTCAAATGCACACTTTTCTTCCTAGCATCCATTCTTTCCTCCTCTCGGGATATTCTCCATGAAGTAGCCTCTCACTCTTTCAATCCTTTATCGTGTCCCTGTCTCTGGTCCTTTGCATATGCTGTTCTCTCTCCATGGAATGGTGTGTGTGCCTCCTTTTACCTAGACACTTCCAAGTCTTCCATCAATCTGGGTTTAAATGTCACTTCCTCAGAGTAGCCTTCTTTGCTCCCTATTATATTATTATTCCCCTATTGTGTGCTCTCTTGGCATGCTTTGTGACACTACATTTATCTTTCATAACACACCGAAATGTGAAATAAATACTTATGTCATCAATTACTATCTTCCTGTCCTATTAAAATGTAAGTCCACTGCAGCTTACGGAGCAGACTGTCTTGTTTTGGGTACCACTATAACACCAGTGCCTACCCAGTAGGCACTGAGGTATCTGTTGAAGAAATGAAGTAGAATATCACTTTAACAATAAATGACATCCCAATAAAAAATCATATTTCATTTTTGAAAGACCCTCTGATCTGGATCTCAGGGTGGATTTTTTGGTACATACGTCATCAGAATGCAGTTTTTGGTGAAGGCATTTAGACAATGACTCTTAAATGATACTGTCGAGGAAGAGAGTACTTGACAAAAACAAACTTAGCACCAATCCTAAAGATAATTCACATGCTTCAGGGGACAAAAGCTGCAAAACCCACGAAGCCAGCAGCCTCGGATCTTCCTGTGCCTGCTGAGGGTGTCCGCAATATCAAGAGCATGTGGGAGAAAGGGAATGTGTTTTCATCCCCCACCGCGTCGGGCGCGCCAAACAAGGTGAGCTCCGGAGTTCCGTCTTTTAATTTTGGAGGGTGGGTTTCTTTTCCTTTTCTTTTTTCTTTTTAGCAAACCACATTAGCTCATTATAAAAGCAGCGGAGAAGGTGTAATTCTTACTTTCTTTTGCAGCAACCATAAAAGCAAGCTTACAGATGCTAGACAGTGTGTACTCCTACGCTCTGGCCACTTTCCTAAATTGAGTTCTTGAAATTAATCATCAACCTTGGGGTTGGGGTAAAAGGTGCGGGGGCAAGCAAACCAGATAACATTCTTTAAATATCGAGTTTAAGGTTCATTTTACTCAGAATATTGATTATAACGAGCAATCATTCATTGGTGTTACGGGATGGTTACATAAAATAACAAGCAATACTATTATTTGAGGTTTCTTTCAAGATTTCTTTCCAGGTAAAGTTTGTCTTGGTCTTTAATATTGGATGGTTGACTCCTTGCAGGAAACTGCTGGCTTGAAGGTGGGGGTTTCCAGCCGCATCAATGAATGGCTAACTAAAACCCCAGATGGGAACAGATCACCTGCTCCCAAACCTTCGGTAAGTAGCTCCGGGTGTTCTGGATTTCCTTGATTTCTCAGCTCCCAGCAGCAGGAGAAAACACGTCTGTTTGCCTGGGAAAGGCAGTGCTCCTGTTCTCTGCTGTCCCTGCTGAGTAACAAACAAGGAGGGGCTCAGATTTAGAGAGAACAGCCCCAAGCAGCTGCCCCACAATCGCCCACAGGCCGTAATTAACCAGAACTCCAAGGCGTTCAGATTTATACTCTTTCCTGGTCTGTGTGTTTAGCTCCTATTCTATAAATTACAGCTGGGAATTTGAAAATGAAAATGTCAAATTATCTTGGCCACTTCTCTGTGGAAAGTACCCCTAAACTTATTCCCCAAAGGAAGTGTATGTTGGCTATTTTGAACCCATGGGTTTCTAATTTGCCTAATTTATGTAACTTAATACAAGAAAATACCATTTTTAGGTAGTTGTTGAAGTAATTGCCATAATTTTTTTTTTCAACACCTCCAAAGAAAAGCCATTTTGAAAAACACAGTAACACTGGAAAGTATAAGGGCTGCTTATTTTTGGAAATCTAAATTTTTCTTAGTATTTATTAAGTGTGACTATTTACTATAAAAATATTCTTTTAACCTTTTCATTGAATGTATACGATAATTCTTGCATTTATCATTATGATAAAGAGCCTTATTAAGCTCCTACTGTGTACATTGGTGAGCTTTCTCTGTTAAGTTGGCTTTTATAGATGCATCAGTGCCCAAAGGAGCAGAGACTCAACTGTCCTAACTGTCCCATCACAGAGGTAGAGGAACGCTTTCCAAATCCTAGACCTCTGTGCCACTGAGCACTTCATTGTATCCAGTGGCTCCATATTTAAGCTCCAAAGTCACTAGAGGTTACCAATTCCAATTTAAGAAGAAAAAAGGGAAATATTGTCTACACTTCTTGAGTGCAACCCCTTATAGTCACCTAATTAATAGTCAGGATTTTTTGCATAAGGGCTCACATGAGGTATAAAACTAATGTAAACCCAATTTACAATCAGAAAGTCTTTATATATTGAAAATATATATATTTTCCCCTCTCCCGGTAAATAGAGGGGAGGGAAGCTATAGACGGAGAGAGTCGAGGGGGGAGGGGTCACACCCACAAGGTGTTTGCTCTTTATTGCCCCGAACCCAAGGTGACATATAGAGTGGGAGTTATTTTTTATGGAAATTTATGTAAATTTTGTGGCCCTAGACCAGTGGTTATTAACCTTTTTGAATTATGGAGCCTTTTGAAAACCTATAAATCAGAGGGCCTTATCCCCTAATACATGTGTATCACTCGAGTTCCGGAAGTTCGTGGACCCACTGAAGAACTCTCAAAATAGCAACGAGAAAGAGAGGAAGGTGTGTCTTCCTCATTGATGAATTTGGCACATTGCTAGAGAACCTGGTCCCTTTTTTGTGTTTATCTTATTTGTGACATATTTCATTTCTGTACCAGATTTGACCAAGCCTATCACCATCTATGTCATCCTAATGGGAGAGTTAAAAAAAAAGTTCAATTCAGTTATAATGTCAAGGCTTCCACAAAAAGCCCCATTCTCTGGTAACTGATAATGTTACAGAAGACTGGAGAACAAAAACAAGCAACACTTAGAGAGAGGGGCATTACATTTTAATTATGCGCAGGCCCAGAGAAAAATGTGTCTTTCAAATTCTGGGCCCCCCAACATGGAGGAAACTCAATTTATATTTTTTCCAGTCCTTTGTCTCCCAAATTTGGAATGAGACTTCCGGGTCTCCTGAGAAAGAAGGCCTGTGTGCTAGGAAGGGGCCATGAGACCGTATCTCAAGGCCTGGCCTGGAGCCAACACTGACAGCTCTGTCTGGGGCATAGTTTATGGCCTCTCTGGAATGGGAGTATCTTATTTTTCCCTATTATTTAAGCAAGCAAGTGTTTACAGAAGCCAAAATAGCAGGGTTAAAATTTCAAACAGCAGTTTTTATATAAGATGGTTGCTTCAATAGCATCATAAAAACGACAGGACAAAAAGTTGTGACAGGGAAATTACAAAAGCATCGCCCGCTTTACCTACTAGTTAGTGAGTTGCTAGACCCTCTCCTAGAGGACAGAAGGCAAAGGGAAGAAGAGTGGCGATTCACACAGGTTGTAGTGATCTCTTTTCCTATGACCCCCTGGATTTGCAGACGAGGGTAAACTCCTGAGTGAAAGCCAGACTGGAAGAGAGCAGGAGGTAGTTGCTGTTGTGCATGAAAAGCCAGTGTGAGTAGACTTAACCAGCAACGTTCAGAGTGGTGCCCAGTTCATGGGCGACAGAGCCAGCTCTTGTCAAGATCTGAATAGCAGCACGGCAGTCTCTCTGGGAAAGGTGTGACCTGGACCCAGGAAGGCAGGAGGGTAACTCACAGACACTACGGATCCAGCAGAAAAAGATGACATTTCCGAGCTGCAGAAAGGCCTAGACGGGTCCTAAAGATGCATAAAACTTGGCTGGCCAAAGGTTAAGTCCAGCAATGCAGCTTAAAAAGGCAGGTCAAATAAATTAATTAATTAATTAATTTAATTAAATAAAAAGGCAGGTCAAAAAAAATTTTTTTAAATAAATATGTAGGCAGGTGAAGCGAAGATCTTGCCCGGGTCTTATCGGGTCTCACAGGGGTGGCCCGAAGCTAAGATTTGTGTAGTTTGACCCACACCATTGTGCTTTTTTTTCCTTTTAAAAATTGTAATTTGAACACATTTTTGAAGTGTGGAGGCATGTACTTCAGAATTTGTTGATTCCCTCTTTTCCTTATTTGTTTACAACAAACCTTTTCAGGCCTTTGAGTTTCCAGCCTGCCCTTCATGGCAGGCCTCTGAGTTTGACACCTTTGGGTCCCCAGCCATACTGACTCTGAGCTCTGAGCTCTGAGCCCAGGATGTTAGAAGAGTTACCTCAAGACAACAGCAACAGTAGGCCCCCAAAGGTGCCATCTGAGTCTGGATCCAAGGGGATTTATTCCCTGTCCCTGCTTATATTCCTTGGTGTATGTGGCTGGAGAGGAAAGCCTGGGCTTGTGTTTGCAGATGTGTGGCAGGTGGCCATTGAAGAAAAACAGAGGGAGATTCTTTCACCGAAATGGTCCTCACCCAGTGAAACCTCAAGAGGAAGGAAATTAGTGTTTCCTCTGAGATGAGTGTTTAGTTCCAAAACTCACTGGACAGAACAACCATCCTTTACCAAGTTGTATAATAATTTCCAAACATGCTAGGAAGTAAATGTGCTCAAAATAGTTTTTCAAACCAATATTATTTGGAGGGGGGTTCCTGAAAATTAACTTATTTAAAAACAAACATTGATCCACATCTGATCCCTTCCTGGGTCATCGTTTTGCTATTTGTGGGCAGAATTTACGGGATTTCGGTGTAATTTTGTAACCAGAATTCAATTCTGAGTATGCCTGTTTTAGCTGGTTTGTCTGTTCTTTGTTGTCTAAATTACATGTTACATGCAGCTAAATTAAAATGCTAATTTGTCTTTCTTTTTGTTTAAAAAACAACAACCATGTCTTTCTCAGCTGAATTCTCTTCTTCATTCTTTGATCTCTGGGTGGCTGGAAACCTGCCTCTCCTGCCTTCATTTCTCCCTCTTCTCCCGGACTGGGTCTTTGTCTAGAATGTAGTCTGGTCAGGTAATTGCGTTTCTATTTCCCCTTTGATTTAAAATGCCAACTCACCACTTGGATGTTCATATTTCCTTAAAATAGGCTCTTTAATTGATCTCAAAAGATTCATAGGGAAGATTGAAGGGAACTACAGTCCGTTTTCTTCTGTAGAACATTCATGTGAAAGAAAAATATTTGTCTTCTACGAATCAAATAAATAAAGTAATAATAGCCACTTTCCAGAGCTTCCATCAGCATGTGCCTAATTATAGTTTCCAAAACTTTAAAACAGTCTTCCAGACAATTTGGCAGCTTCTCCCTACATTGGCAAAAGTAGTGGAACCCTTCAAAAACAACCTGATTTGTTGCTCACTGGTTCCAAGTTAAATAGGTGTAGCTCTCTAATAGGATATCAGGAATTCGTGCCACAGTGGAACTCCAGAAACTCAGTAGGATTAAGGCAAATCTGAAATGCAAAAAATAAAATTAAATTAAAATTAAAAATCTGAAATGCTTCACATGGTACCATTTAACCAGTGCACTTTCAGTGTTGAGCCCTCCCTACTATCTGTCAAAGCATGCCCCTTTAGACTGGTGTCCATGGATAAATGCAATTGCTGTTCGCTTTGCCTTCCTAACAAGAAAAGGATGGGCCAAAATAAACATGACTATTTCAGTTAAAACACATTTATATTCTACCAACTACCTTTTGCCAAGCACATGCTGGAAGAAACGTAAATGGAAACAGAAATGTGGCTCCTTGTCCAAACCAAATTAATTTCGAGGTAGCAAATAAAGAATCAAAGCTACATAACTGTTCTCCCCCCGAGATTTCCACATGTTCTCACATACGTTATTCAGTGTCAGTTTCTCTTACGGGTGCAGTTTGTGGTCAGTGTTTACACTGATGGGGCTAGCTAGGTTTTACCGATGCACTTCTGAGTTATCCACTCACTCCGCAGGAAACACAAAACGACTTCACTCTGAGGGAAGTGCCATTAGAAGTTTGATGCAGATTTCCTACTGCACAGAGGTGTGGGGAGGAGGGGGGGGCGCCCCTAACCCCCACGTTGTTCAAGAGTCCATTGTATTTAAAACCAACCTATACTGTCTTCACTTCTAAGAGCACAGAAAGTTAAAAATAGGCTATATTATTTTAAATATGCTTGTGTTCCAGTTTTACTGATCCATAAGCAGTAAGTCCTTAATGAAGAACAGGCCAGAATAGGCTGGAGAGTTCCAGCCCATTCTCATGTCATAACCTGGTCCAGGTCTGTTATAAACACAGTGGCTCATGATCCTTTCAATGCCATCCATTTCTGATCGCTAGGGTGAAGTGTATTAACAAGAAATCGATTCAAACCAACAAACACAGATGTGGTGACTTATTTAGACCTGGCAGAAAATCTATAGGGCCATGTATTAATTTTATTCTGCTTTCTCTTCATTAGGATTTGAGGCCAGGAGACGTATCTGGCAAGCGGAACCTCTGGGAAAAGCAATCCGTGGATAAGGTCACAACCCCTGCCAAGGTAATGTCAGTCTAAATGTTTCTAGAGTCCCCTTTTGGAGTAGAGACTGTCAGCTGCCCATTGTCCATCGCCATAGGTACAATGTCCATCATCATAGGCAACATTCCCATGAGCCAGGGTTCCGGGGCGTGGAGTAAAGATATGATCTGGAATGGTAGGACCCAGAGACCGCCACTCACATACGACACGGCAGGAATGGTGGCTCTCCCTGGAATTGTGCAGCATGGTGGCACAAGGTGGGAGGGGGACAGGTTGAGTCTTCACAGGCTCTGCCCCCTCCTTGATCTAGCCCACAAACTCTTCCTACAGTAATCCTGTATAATAAAAGGGTAATATGCAAATTTTCCCTAACAGCAGAAAGACTGGGAATGACTGGTCACTATGACACACACTGACCACCAGGGGGCAGATGCTCAATGCAGGAGCTGCCCGGGGCTGCCAGAGTGATGTCTTACTGCCAGCTTAGGCCCAATCCCCCAGGGAGCAGGCCTAAGCCAGCAGGTGGACATCCCCTTAGGGGTCCCAGACTGCAAGAGGGTACAGGCCGGGCTGAGGGCCCCCCCAAGTGCACAAACTTTTGTGCACCGGGCCTCTAGTAATTCTATAACCACCAGGCCCACAGCTGAGGTTATGAGGTAGCAGAGTATTTAGCTCCTTTGTTCCAAAATGTCACACTCACTACACGTCATGCAGTGATTCATTTGAAATGAAAACACACACAACACATGTGAACATGCAGATTCACAATACTACACTTGGCCATCGGTCTCCTCAGGTTCTGCATCCGCGGATTCAACCAACCACAGATTCAACCAACCCCGGATCAAAAATATTTGAAAAAAACTACATTGTTGCTAATGTGTACTATGCAGTTAGGCCTATGATGGTCGCTTCTGTATTGAACATGTACAGACTTTTTTCTTATCATTATACCCTGAATAATACAGTATAACAACTATTTATATAGCATTTACATTGTACTGGGTATTATAAGTAATCGAGAGATGATTGAAAGTATACGGCTTATACGCAAATAATATGTCAGTTTCTATAGAACACTTGAGTGTCCACAGATTTTGGTATCCACGGAGGCCTGGAACCAATCCCTCTAGGATACTGAGGGACAACTGTATATTTAATATTTGTGAACACCTCAGCAAGGATTTTTAGCAGCTAGCTGGGGAAAAGAAATGATATACAAATGTCAGATAAGTTTCAAGAGTAGGGATAGAAGTACAGGGGGGAGGAAATAAAGAACAGAAGAAAACTAAAGGTAAGAATAGTCCACTTCACCCTCCTGCCTTGTCGTGGCCAAGGCTGTCATTCCATCATGTGTGCCTGTTCTGGAATGCACACTATAGATTCCTGGCCCTTAGGGTGGTGTTAAAAATAAAACTGCTGCCCTAACCGGTTTGGCTCAGTGGATAGAGCGTCGGCCTGCAGACTCAAGGGTCCCAGGTTCGATTCCGGTCAAGGGCATGTACCTTGGTTGCGGGCATATCCCCAGTAGGGGGTGTGCAGGAGGCAGCTGATCAGTGTTTCTCTCTCATCGATCAGCTGTTTCTAACTCTCTATCCCTCTCCTTTCCTCTCTGTAAAAAATCAATAAAATATATTTTTCAAAAAAACCTGCCTCCAAATGCCCTGAGCAATATAGAAAAGATAATACAAAGAAGAAAGTGAGGAAGGAAGGAAGGAAGGAAGGAAGGAAGGAAGGAAGGAAGGAAAAAGGAAGGAAGGGAAAAAGGGAAAAGGGAAGGGAAAGGGAGGGGAGAGGGGGATGGAGGGGAGGGAGAAAAAAATCAACAGGAGAAAGACCAAGAGGAGCATATTTGAATAGAATGCCAACAATAATCCTCCCTTTCATAAAGATTTATTCCGGCCATATTATAATTCTTCTTTTCTTTTTCGTCTGACATAAACATCTGGCTAAAACACTGTGGCCTGCCGATTTAAAGCTCTCTTCTCTTAACAGGTGTGAGACAGTCCAAGAAAGAAGCCAGAGTAGCCACTCAAGATGCTGGACCAGCTCAGCCGAAGAGGGCTATGTGCTCTGTTCTATATTTATGTTGATTTACTAAATTGGGTTAATTTCCTTTTGTTTTATTTTTCATTATCCCAGTAAACCCATGTATATTATCACTATATTTAATAATCACAGTCTAGAGAAGTTCATGGTAAAAGTACTGCCTTTGCACAGGAGCCTGTTTCTAAAGAAACCCATGCTGTGAAATAGAGACTTTCTACTGATCATCCTAACTCTGACCGGTGACACCAACCACGTCGGAAGTCGAGCAGGAGGAGGTTCAAGCTGAAAATTTGCCTGAGGAATGTGTGCAGTGTCCAGAAAAACAAACCATAGTGGGGTTTGGGGCTTTTTTTGTTTTTTTTGTTTTACATACAGAAGTCATGTTGTTTCTGCACTTTAGAATAAAGCATGGAAGAAATGATCTCAGTAGGCAATTGTAACACTTTCTGAAAGTAACGCATTTCAGATTTGAGATTCTGCAATGATGATTGTCTTTTTTAAAAAACGTACTGTTAAGGTATTACTTTTTTCATGCTGATGATTATCTAAATTGGATGATGATGTTAGAAGACAGTGGTACTGATTTCTTTAGGTTGGTTGCTTTGTGGATTTCTTTGGTAGTGATAGTGAACCACATTTTAGAGGACCTGATCATGTACGTATGTGCATACACGTATACAAACACACTAATGGTAGAAAGCTTCTTTTATGTGCTAGACTATTATATTTAGCAGTATGTCCTTGTAACTAGCCAATATCACAGCTTTTCAAAAATTAAAAATCACATTATATTAATATTCATATTTGCCAATAGAGACATGGCAGAATAGGTATCAATATATCTTCAATGCCCAATAGATAAACTGTAAGAAAAAAAAAGAGAGATTCGAAATGTCAAAATGAATTGACATTTTCTATAAAGCATAGTATTTAGCTGATAACGAAAAGCAATCTTTAAGTCCAATGTGAATTTTACTACCATCTGGATCAAACTCAAAGCTTGCTGAGAACTTTATTTTGTTAGCAATCAAGCTCACAATCGCTTGGCTTCGAGGATATTTGAGGTCTCTTCTTTGTCTAAAATTTAAAGACGAGGATTTTAGTGACAAGATTGTCCAGATTGAAACTCCATGTGTGGGTATGCAAAGACCAGCTTTGGCTAAGGTCTGGAAGCAGAGAAGAGAAGTAAGCAAATTCCAATATTTAAGAGTCATAATAGTCCTTCATCTTTATTATACGAAACCATTTTTTAAATTAAAAGTTTCTACTTTTATTAGTCATGGGTACTTGTCATAAGTTGATAATCTATTGAACTTTCGAAAAATATATGTAACTTTTAGTAGTTTTACTATTTTCTCCAAGAGTCTTTATCAAATCATCCTTTTTATACACGTAATCTAGACATCAGATCTTACTTTAGCTTATAAGTGTTCATCTATTCTTCACAATAGATGATAAAAGAGTACTCCTCTGTGTTGGCAATATGTTTTAGCATAGAGATATATAGGATAGTTCTATAAACTTATACCTCATTTGACTTAACCAAAAGTGTCCTACTCTCAATTTCTACCACAATGAGGGAGCCTCACAAATGACTATTTTCTAACCTACAGTATTTCCCTGGAGGAGCCAGCCGGGGCAGGGCTGACATGAGCAGTGACGACTGCCTTGCAGAGTCTGTTTTTCTCAAAAATCAGTAAAGAGTAGCTGAATTCTCTAGCTTTTAGCACACCTGGGCCAAAGGAAGGAAAACCACCAAGATCACACACGTCATCCACCCGTGACAGAATAGATATGAGTCTATGATAAGATAACCTAGAACCCACATGTAGTGCCTCATTTAGCATTGACTCCCATCACTGGAGTGAAATGGATCGAAGTTTGAATTAAGGCCCATGGCGATATGACATTGCTTTGTTGTACTTTTGAACAAGAGCTTCTCCTGATCACTAGTATATATATTTGTTTCTAGAAAGTCTAAAGTTGAGAAGAGAATATATCGATCCTGACTTTTATTCCGATATTTGGATGGAATAAGTTTTAGGGTAGAATTTTGTTCAGTTTGGATTTAATCTTTTGAAAAAAATAAATTCCGTTGTTTACTTGTCTGATTACAATTCTCTGTGTTATCTTTAAGAGGTAAAACTGCAAGGTGACTAGCATGTTCTGTGAATCTGCCATTCCTAAAAATTTTATAAACACTTGATGTTTTTCACTGATAACTGATCGCTGCAATAAGTATATATTGTGAAAATGCATCCACAATAAATGGAATTCCTCCAAATGCCATTGCCTCACTTGTTTTTTATGTGCTATATTGCTTATAGGAGTTATATTGGTTGTAATAAAGATGACTGCAGAGCAAAATGTATTCTTCAGGTTGAACCTTGGTTTCGCCCTTTAAAGAAGAAAAGCCATTTCATATTTTGTAAAAACATTATGAGCATTTTTCTAACAACACACCAAATATGTATGGAAAAGGTTGAAAAGAGAGATTTTACAAATTCTTCTTTAAAAGAAATTATCAAATGTTCCTCCATCCTCCTTCTCAATCCCAGTATTGTCACCCACCACCTTTCTTGCGCCTAAGATGGCAGTACTGTTTCCTCAAAGGTAGTTTCTTTTATGGTAGAAATACCCATTAAATATATACCCTTTGTTTGCAGAATATTACTATTACCAAGGCAATGGCAATTACATTTAAATCCAAAGGTCTTTCTACCTAATTTTGCATATTTATATAGCACTACTTGGTCTGAAATCTGAGGCTTTTCTCATAACGGTTTTAAATGGTGAGTCCAGAGCTCCTGAGCAGTCCCTAAATCCTGTCCTTTAGAGTGACAGAATTAACTAAGTTACTGTAACTTAAAAAATATTTAGCACTTTTTTACTTCTATGTCCTAACAGCCCAGGTGATGGAATAAGTTTAGACAATAAGATAGTTGTCATCAAAGTTCATTCACAAAATTAAGCAATGCAAAGAATACAATCTGTAATACTAATACAAAGATGATGGAAATAGAGATGGATTAAAATTAATTTTACAATGTGCATATTCAGAGTATAATATAGTCTCCTGCGTGATTTAGAAACAGGTCTATTGGAGGCTTTTTCATATCTTTGCTTGCATGAAAGAATGGATAGGAAAAAAAAAATCTCATGACCCTAAATATGTATTCTTCCACAAAAGAAAGATGACTGAATCAGATCTTAATTTGAATGATGTGTCTATTTGTGTTAAGCTTCTTATTCATGTCCAAACATTCTATATTCTTACTGATTTTTTTTTGTTCCTTTGGTCTATTACTGAGAAAAAATATAAAAATATCCCATTATGATTATGGATTTACCTATTTCTCCTTATAATTTTGTTAGTATTGTTTCCCATATTTTAAGATCATGTTTTAGGTACATATACAAATCTAGGATTACTATACATATATTCCTAGTGAATAAAATATTTTGTCCTTGTGAAATAAATTTATGACTGGCGAAGATTTCTGCCTATTTTTTCTATTCTTAATATTGCTACAGTGGCTTTCTTTTGGTTAGCACTTGCACAATATAACTTTTCCACCCCTTTACTTTCAACCATTGTATATCCTTTAGTTTCATATGTATGTCTTTGAAAATTATATGGTTTGAGTTTGGGTTTTAATCCAGTCTGATCATCTTTGAGCTTTAACTGGAGTATTTAGCCCTTTTATATTTAATGTAATTACTGATATTTTTGCATTTAAATAGCATCCTAGTTATGTGCCATCTGTTGCTTTCTCTCTCTTGCCTTTGTGCCTGGATTTCTTCTTCCAAGCGTGTGCTGATCTACAAGAGTCAGCTGAAACTGGGCTAGACTTTTGGCAACCTGATGGGGCTAGAGGGCAAAAGAATCATCATCTGTCAAGGATGAGGGTTTGTTAAACTAATTCCAGATTATGGGTTTCCAAAGAGCTGCTCCTGAATGTAAGGATGAGCTTGAAGGAATCTGGTCTTCATAAAGATTGCTGCATGTGAAACTGCTAGATGTACTGCTATCAATTTTTATACTGTTCTTAGAGATCTGAGGATTAATTTGTTTTACGACATTTTTATTCCCAGATTTATAATTCTTGTATCCACTCAGCCCTGCATCTCAGCTCCATAAAGAATGTTGGCCTCTCACTTTAATACAGATTTCATAGCAGAGTTTTGCCAAAGCATGCTCTTAGTGATGTCAGCTTTTGTTATCTTGAAGTTTTTCCCCAAAAAAGTTTCATTAAATTGGGTTTTAGAAGTCCCAACTGATCATTTCTACCAAGATAAAAAAAAAACAAAACTTTATACAATAATCTCTTACTGAAGGTACTAATATAAAAATTATGTAAAAGAGCTACAATCATATAGAGCACAAGATTAGTTCCTTAGCTGGTTTTCAACCTGATCAGTGGTGGCACCATAGTTATGCAGGGATCAGTGCAGCAAGGTAAGTAGATGCCCATGTACTAGAGGGTGTCATTGTCATCAATTGGAGGTCAGCTAGTCAAATGGTACTGACAGCTAACATTAATTGGGTCCTTACAAAGTCCCAGGCAGTATGTTATTCACTCATGCAATCCTTACATGATAGATACTACTGTGTTATTCCCACTTTACATGTAAATAAATGGAAGCACCAAGAAGTTAAAAAGGTTGCTCAAGGTTATATAGCTACTAGAGGCCTGGCGTATGAAATATGTGCACTTGGGAGGTCCCTCAGCCTGGCCTGCATCCTCTCACAGTCCTGGAGCCCTCGGGGGATGTCCGATTGATGGCTTAGGCCCGCTCCCTGGGAGCAGGCCTAAGCCAGCAGTGGGACATCCTTAGGGCTGCCACAAAGGCGGGAGAGGCTCCTGCCACTGCCGCTAGGGCAGTCGTTCTGCCATTCAGTCAATTTGCATATTAGCCTTTTATTATATAGGATTAAGTGGCAGAATATTTGACCCCGGGTAATTGGTTCCTGAACCCACACTCCTAACCTCTAGTTCCCACAATCTCCCAGAAGAGATTGTTATTGTGTAGGAGCATGCCTAGAAGAGAGCCCCTTGTTGAGCATGTTGGAACCAACACTCTCCTCATGAAGCCCACAGACACGGAGCAAGAACAGCACTTGAGACCAATACTGTAGACTTCAACTCGGCCCTTTTCCTCTCCAGCCCCTGCTCATCCTAAAACAATAGGAACTGGTACCTACAAAAAAGAGGAGATGGGTGTAAATAGCAAAACACCAATTCCCTCCCACTTCCCAAACCACCAGAGCTGGGGACAGATCTAGGTTGCCTGAGGGGTGAGGAGAAAGAGGGAGGTTGATTGACTTTGAAATTGAAGTTTAAAATGTACTTAATACCAAATCCCTGAATGAAATCTTAAGTGCCAAAATGAAACTTAGTAGCTGAAAAGTTATGGAATATTACCATGTCCTCTGTAAAAAAAAGGGGGTGGGGTGGGGTTTCACCATTGCAGTTCTGGGCAGTTATTGGGGGAGGAGGGAGAGACCATGTTTTTTGTCATGAGACTTGGGAACTATTCTTTCTCCTTTGAGGTGATTTATTCCACCCATTTTTTTTGTAGAGTAGGCAGGGGCCATTGTTACTATCCCATTTCCAAGTGTTTAGGAGAATGATGCCTCCCTGTGGTCCCCAAATTTAGACATATTCTACAAACTAATTCTACCAATGATAGAGGGATTAGGAAAGACTTCACTGTGGGGATGAGCCTTGAACTGAGTCTTGGTTAGTTGACTGGCTGGGACAGATTTCTCAATTTGAGCTTTGAAACCTTTTGAGACGTTTGGCCTTATACTAGGTCATCCTAGACCCAGATAGTCTGAGGAAGGCCAAAATGGGTAATAGATGGGGGACTCCAGGGTTCCCAGGACCTAGTATGTCTTCCTCAACCAAAATGGGACCAGACCTGTACAGCTACATAACCACTAACTTCTGTGATGTCATAAATAACTCTGTCCTAGTCACTTCACATTCTCATTTAAGTCTCTGCTCAATTAATTCAAAATAATATTATTACATAAAATAAATTATAGTCCTAACTCAACTTACATTTGGCCATGTTGCCAAAGTGAAGTTTCCTCCTGATTCCCACACTAATAATTGTGCCTTTTGGAGTCTTGTTTTGGATTTTCTTTTCCTTCTTTCTTACTCTACTTTTATTATATTTCTTTTATTCTGCATGCTTGAGTCAATAAATTCACCAAAACTTAGAGGAAATGTTGCTCTAGGAGTGAGTCTGTCCAGTAATCTTCTCTGATAAGATTATGGGGAAGGGAAACAAAAATTTAGACTAATAGAAAGTCCTTGGAAATTCACTCCGGGCCTCACCTCCACTTTAACCTAAATGCAAATAATTCCATCTCTACTATATATTACTATCTGTAATAGGAGAGTAATTTTTTAAAATAAATTTTTATTGATTTCAGAGAGGGAGAGAGAAAACATCCAAGATGAGAAAGAATCATTGATCAGCTTCCTCCTGCACGCCCCACACTGGGGATTGAGCCCGCAACCCAGGCATGTGCCCTGACCTAGAATTGAACCGTGAGCTCCTGGTTCAGAGGTGGATGCTCAACCATTGAGCCATGCCGGCCAGCTGGGCAGGAGAGTAAATTTCTTTTTAAATTAAAAAGAAGAAGAAGAAAAAGAAGCAGGTGCTTAAGAAAACCATATTTAATTTATTTGGGGCAGAAAAAAAGTCCTAAAGAAATCTCCCTCCTTAAAATGATACTGCCCTAGCTGGTTTGGCTCAGTGGATAGAGTGTCGGCCTGCGGACTAAAGGGTCTTGAGTTTGATTCCAGTCAGGGACACATGCCCAGTTTTCCGGCTTGATCCCCAGTAGGGGGCATGCAGGAGGCAGCCGATCAATGATTCTCTCTCATCATTGATGTTTCTCTCTCTCTCTTCCTCTCTGAAATCAATAAAAATACATTTAAAAAAATAAAATGATACTGACTTTAGCCAAGCTTTGACTAAACAGTACTGCCTGGTATAATTCATAACACTGGTCTTCTCTTAGAGCCTTTGTATTTTCTGCTTCCCCTGCCTCCCACATGGCTCATGACTTTACTTGCTTCAGGTGTCTGCTCAAATGCCCCCTGGTCAGAGAAGCTTCTCTGCACACCCCATCAAAAGAACTACTCAGCTCACTCCCCATGCTCAATTTTTCCCTGCTTTATTTCTCTCCATAGCAGTTATCATCACCTGGGTGTTTGTTTTCAATAGGTTTGTCTGTCTTCTCCTAATAGAATATAACCTCGTGCAATCACCTTACACTGGGAACAGTCCCTGACAAGTAGTAGGCATTCAATAAATACTTGTTGAATTAATGTAAGAATTATGATTTTTCAAAATTTGTTAAATTCCCAAGTATTTTTAGGCACTAAAATATTTTTTCTCTGTAGGATTACTTGAAATATGACCATGTAAGTATTTGGACTAAAAATCATGAGACTTAAGTCCCAGCTCAGCTATTAATTTATTGTGTAACTTGGTTAGATAATTTCTTGGAGCTTCACCCTTGTACACCTGACATCTTATGGCTCACAACCATGACTCTAAAATCAACAGAAAAATAGATTCCATATAAAAATTATCTGTGCATGTCATTTTTAATAACATGTATGGCATAAAACAAGGTACAATTATAACTGGTAACTATTTTTCAAGAGAGCTTTATCTAATCTATTTCTTTTCCTGGAAGGTCCAAACTTCTAAATTGCTGATCTCAAAAAAATCCATTATTTTTCAGAAACTTACAAAATCTAAAGATATGGACCATTTCCATGCTTAAGCCAAAGTGCTTCGAACTTTATTCTACTTTCAAACTTGCTTTAATCCATTATCTCCATTTTTACAATATTACAAATCTCATGGCATATAATACCCCAGGTAGGAACCGGACATCTAAAGACTTTTTTTTCCTAGCCATACTACTTTGAAAACTGTTCCAAATACATTCAATTATCCACCAGAGCTAAAGATCAGGAGAAAATCAAGTTGGGATATACAGGAATCATGTCTAAGTCTGTAATGGGAAGCTCGTATTTAATTAGATGAGGCAATACATGTGGAGTGATTTGCATGGTGCCCTGCCAGATAATGTGTTCAATGTGTTACCTAACGATTTTTATATTTAAAGAATCTCTGAGCTGATTAGAACCTTGAGAATCTAGTGTATCTATGACTCCTCTACCAAGTATTTAATGAGAACATTTTTTCATTTCCGAATCAAATAAAGATCATTAGTCACACAATTGTGCAGAGCACAACTTAGTGTGGGGTACAAATAAAGACCAACAAAGTACTAGTCTTGACCAGTAAGCTCTACAGCAACGGTTCTCAACCTGTGGGTCGCAACGCCTTTGGGGGTCGAACGACCCTTTCACAGGGGTCGTTTAACACCATTGGAAAACACATATATAATTACATATTGTTTTTGTGATTAATCACTGTGCTTTAATTATGTTCAATTTGTAACAATGAAAATACATCCTGCATATCAGATATTTACATTACGATTCATAACAGTAGCAAAATTACAGTTATGAAGTAGCAACAAAGATAATTTTATGGTTGGGGGTCACCACAACATGAGGAACTGTATTAAACGGTCGAGGCATTGGGAAGGTTGAGAACCACTGCTCTACAGCCTCCTGATGGTATAGAACCTAGGAACAAATCACAGTTCTGCCTTCTCCTCTCCTAAATTTCTGCCAGCCCCACCCCACCATCCGCACTACTTTCCACCTAGAACGGGATTCCCTCTGCCCCTAGTTCCCGTCATCCTTCGTGGTCTCCCTTCCTCCGGCCCAAATCCCGCCCAGGCTTCTTCTCTCTCCAATACTGCTAGGTAATTCCCCAAGGCTTTCTGAAGTCTCGCGAGGGTGGTCCCGTTGCCCTGGTAACGAGTGGCCTTGCCTCCGGGTGAAGGGCGTGGCTAGAGCCGCCGAACTGGACCGGGATTACATTGGGCTGTTACCCGCGGGGGCGGGAAGGAGGAGCCAACAGAGGCGGGACAGTGACGCGCGGTTCCGAAGGAAAGGAGATCAGCGGCGCGGCGCCCCCTGCGGGAAGCGAGCACACGTGGACACGCGCGCCGGGGGAAATGAGCTCCTACCCACACCGCGGCTTCCAGGCGTGAGCGTGAGAGGGCCTCGCTGACCTCGGGAATTGTGCTTCACCGTCCTTTCCCGAGGAAGTCCGTCGTCGTGCCCGCCCGCAGGCCTGGCTGGCTGGGCGTGGGGGCGCAGGTGTTGCCTCGTCCGCCTCGGCCGTGGAAGGAACGCGCGCGGAGTGCCCATTAGGCAGTCAGCGCGGCTCTCCTGAAGCTCAGGTCTTACCCTGTCGCAGGTGAGCACAATGGTAACTGTGACCCTGCTCAGGGGGTTGGCTGCGTGGGTGTTCTGTTCAAGAAAGAGAGGTGGTGTCGCTGGTTTTATTTGTAGAGCTTCCAACGCTCTGTTCCCCTGGAGGCAGGCTCAGCTCTGGTTCAGATACATTGTTTAGTTAATTACATGTTCATTTCTTCTTTGCCGTTGGGTCAGCTTACCTGGCTGGGTTCCAGTCAGGCTCATGAGGTTACTCGTACATGTGCAGAGTAGTGTACCTGGATTTTAACATTTAGCAAGAATCGCATTTAGTAGGAACCACCCAGACAGTAAGACCCTGGCCCTGCCTTACATTGGTTTGCCTCATGTGCTCACGGGAGGAAATAGAATCAGATTTATGCCAATCCAGTTTCCCAAATCGGGAATCGTGGTGACCCCCGGGCTGAAACTTCAGTCAGTGTTGCAGGTCCTACTAAGCACACTTCTCCGTTGCATCTGTAGTAATTTGCTGTGGAGCTTGGACTTTCTTCTATGTAGTCTTGTTCCAAAACACACTTTGTGTAGAGCAGAACTTAAACAAATAGACTGGGAATTGGTAAATTCCTTTGATCTAAAAAACAACAACAAAGAATCTTGACAAGGAACTTGCATTATTTCATTGTCTCAATAATGGGAGGATACTTGCCTCCCAGGGATAATGGCCGTCGCCAGTACAACCTTCTGATAGCTATTGAGATGTCAGTTAAGACAGATACAATTGAATATTAGAACAGAGACAGTATCTACGGAATAGTAGCCAAAATATAAAGAGTCTGTTGTCGGCTATTGAACTGCTGGTCAATTGAAAATTAAGTAGAAAACAAAATTTATTGCTAAATTTCATTGCCTGAATAAGTAACTGTAATTTAAAAGATTTGTGATCTTTTTAATGTCTCAGGATTATTCTGAACTTGCTATTGCTCTCTGGTATTTAATTGTAAATACAGGGTGTAAATGATTTGTCTGTGTACCCTATAAATTCTTTTTAAATTATTTACTTGATTTGTCTTTTATTGTGATTTAGTTTCTTACTCATAGAAATGAAAAATTTCTTCAAATCTTTGAAACTGAAGGTTTATTTAACCGTGTCCTAATAAATTAGTTTTTAAAAGAAACCTGTTGTCACTTAAATACAATAGAATATATTTTGGATACTCATACAATGTAATAAACACTTTTGATTTAAAAACTGTCAGTAAAGACCTTAGAAATTGTTTTCCATTTACAGCCCGCCTACTCAAAAGGAGAAATATCGAGCCAAATACTGAAGAGATGTCAGAAGATTCAGAAGAAGACTATTCAGATAGAACAATCAGTGATGAAGATCAATCAGTATGTTTTCCTCAACTTTATCTTAATGTACTTTGAGATAAAACTTGTGTTATATAGATTCCCAGTAAAAGTATTATAAAACCAATTGAATGTAAGAATCAATTGGATGTTTAAATCACCTGTCATTGAAGTTGGGAAGTAATTTGATTGAAAGCCGAGGTATTACTGTGTACAGTATGCCCCATCTAGAAAGAACCTATATTGGTTGTCTTTTTCTGAGAAAAAAATTTGGGTAAGATTCTTCTGACTTTTACTAAAATATGTATATTAAAGCATTATTTGGTGTTTTTATACTCCCTGTCCACTTTCTTATATGTACTAAGTCTACTGTATTCATCATAATATGTATCATATACTGGGACCTTCTATATTTTAAATCTACTATGTAGCTCCATAATAGGCTTAGTGTGGCTCTGATGTAACAAAGGCAGGGACATGGAAGAAGAAAAAGGAGGAAAAAACAAAATGCAGTATTTAAAAATATTTTTTCTGGTTCTAGTAATATTTGTGAGATGTTTTCATCACATTTTATTTTTCCTAAAGTATAAATTATCATATATTTAAGTTAAGGTCCTCAAATAAGCTCCCCAAAATGATATATAACCCTTTAAGTCTATGGCCTTCTGTATTTATGTTCTTTTTAAAAAATAATACTCATTAATTTTTAGAGCTAGAGGAAGGAAGAGGGAGAGAGAAAGAGAAGCATCCATGTGAGAGTGGAACATGGATCTGCTCCCTCCTGCACGCCCCTTATAGGAGAATCCTACAACCCAGGCATGTGCCCTGACCTGGAATTGAACCCACATCCTTTTGATGCATGGGATGATGCCCAACGAACTAAGCCACACAGGCCAGGGCTGTGTTTCTTTTCTTCTTTTGTTTCTTTTTCTTAATTTAGATCAGCGGTTCCCAACCTGTGGGTCGCGAATGACCCTTTCACGGGGGTTGCCTAAGACCATCGGGAAACACATATATAATTACATATTGTTTTTGTGATTAACCACTATGCTTTAATTATGTTCAATTTGTAAAAATGAAATTAAGGGCCAAAGACCTTAAACACACTTTACCATAGAAGATACACATCAGCTAGAATGGCCAAAATTCGAAACACTGAGAACACTGAAGATTGGTGAGGATGTGGAGCAATGGAAACTCTCATTCATTGCTGGTGGGAATGCAAAATAGTACAGTCATTTTGGAAGACAGTTTGACAGTTTATTTAAAAACTAAACATAATCTTACCATACAACCATGCTTTGAGGTTAGGATTGAGGTTCAGGTTTTTTTGCATGTAGCTATCCAATTATTCCAGAATTATTTGTTGATGAGCCTGTCTTTTCCACCTTGAATAATCTTGGCATCTTTGTGAAAATTAATTTACCTTATGGATATAGGGTTCAATTTCTGAACTCTATTCAGTCTATTGAGCTACATAAGTATTGCTTATGGCAGTGCTACTTGATTAATCTGGATTAATGTAACTTTATAGTAAGTTTTGAAATCAGGTAAATACTTAACTTTGATATTTCCCAAAATTGTTTTGGCTATTCTTGGTCCTTTGAATTTCCATATAAGTTTTAGAAGAAGCTTGTCAATTTCTAAAAAAATTGCCTGCTCAGATTTTGATTAAAAATTATCCCCAAATTGATCTACTGAATGTGTAGATGAATTTGGGGATAATTGATATCTTATCAACACTGAGCCTTCCCATCTATGAACATGGTATATCTCTCCTTTATTTAGGTTTTCTTTAATTTCTGCCTGTAATGTTTTGTAGTTTTTAACAAACTGGTGTTACACATATTTGTTAAATTCATCACTTAAGTGTTCAATGTGTTTTTTTGGAGCCAAAGTAAATAGTATTTTTAATTTTTTTTCAATTTCCTATTGTCTATAGGAAATTGTATAGTTAGTGTATAAAAATATAATTAATATTTAATATTGATCTTATGTCCTGTGACCTTGATAAACTCAATTGTTAGTTTTATGAAAAAAAAATGTAGTTTTAGTATTATGTGTCTAATGTTGTATAACAAATTAGCCCCAACTTAATAAATGCATTGATCTCATAGTTAAAAAAAAAAAAAAAAATAGGGTCACCACAACATGAGGAACTGTATTAAAGGGTCGCAGCTTTAGGCAGGTTGAGAACCACTGATTTAGATTGTTTTGCTAAGCTTACCAAGAATCTTTAAACTTTATTTCTTCCCTGCAATTATTAATAGACCTTACCCTGTGGAAGAAGAGAAATGAAAGGTGAAAACTTTAAGGTTTCAGGATAGTTGAAGTGTCTGCTTTGAGACCAGTAGCTATAATAATCCTTTAATTTTTTCCACTAAAGATTAAACACATACACTTAATTGTTGTAAAAAATTTCTGGCTTTGTAAGCTGTTGGTTTTTAAAAGAGAAATGTTTTTAAACTCTCTTGTTTTAGGATGAGGATACCTACATGAAATTTGAAGATCTCCACCAATGTGCACTTTTAACAGGTTTGAATTTATCCATATATTCTCCCTTCTCTTTATGATAGGATATGAGTGGAGGAAAAGTAATAAGGAAACTAGAAAAAAGTCAGCTTGGATAATATAGGGAATTATTATTCTGTTAATTGGATAAGGAAAGAAAATGTATTCACTTTTATAAGAATCTTTTGGAGTTAAAACGTTTAAGATTTGTTTTAGATAAACCTGATTTTAATGAAAATGGTCAGTAGTTTATAAAGAACTTAATACAAGAATTTATTTGCCTTGGCATTTCTTTAAATAACCAATTCTTTAAATGCATTTACAGTATAACTGGACTTATAATGGACACAATGTTTTGGCACTGCATCTTTAAGTATGCCTATGTAGAGATTCCTTAGTCATTCATTAGCAAATTTACATGTGCATGTGGGCATCTTGATGTGTGCTTGATTTTTTAGAATTCATACATTTAGAATTGTGCTTTCAAATACATTAAAATATTTTTTCCAAATATTCATATATCTATCACAGATATTTTGAAATTGAAGATAAGACCTTTTATTATTTTTTATTATTGTCTTTTTCACTGCCATCCTAAAACAAATTTTCACTTTTGAGATAACCACTATTCTCAGTTTGGTGTTTACCCTTCTAGAATTTTTTCTTGCATTTGTACACATATCTATACCCATAGTCATAGAAAATGTGTGACTAAGTTTAAGAAGTTTAAGAACATTCAACAGTAAATAGTTTGCTAAAAAAATTGTACTATTTTGTGGACTTCCTGCTGCCCTTTTTTTTCTTTTTAAAATTTTAAAACGTCTGTTGGTAAAAAGGAGGAAATTCACTGTTTTAACTAACATTTCCTTGGTTGCTAAAGAAATTAAGAATTGTTTCATATGCTTGTCTATTTATATTCCCTTGTGTTATGAATTGCTCTTTCATAGAAATCCTTGTTAACTTTGTTTACATTGCTTTCATTGTTGGGAATTATTTTAATGTTATTTATCATTATTCATTTGTGGCTCTTTTTTTTATGTATCTGTTTAAGCTACAAAGGCCCCTACTCTAAAATCATCAATATAATTATCAAAGTTTTCTTCAAGTACTTTTTTGTACTTGTTTGAATTTTGGTATTTCATTTCTCTAAAATTTACATTTACAAATCATGAGGTATGAATCTAATTTTATTTACTCATTCATAAATAATTGCCTTGCCATTTTTGAATCATACTGTAAATAAGACAAAGTGTGATCTACTCACATAATGGAATACTAGATGCTTAATAACTGTCTATTGAATAAATGGATCTATATAACAATCTTGAGAAGTAGCAATGGAAGGTAGTATTTCTTATTTACAAGTAGTAAGATTTATGTTCAAAGAGGCTTCATTGGCCAACCAAAATCATGTAGAAACAAAGTGATAGAACAGAACTCAGTTTGTCTGACTCCTAGTCCAATTATCTGCTGTTATACAAAAATAACCCAGAACTAAATTTAGGTTAAAAGCCATGTTTCAGAGGTGGAATAGCAAGAGGAGTCAGTGGGACAAATGGAACCAAGTATGTAAAAGGTAGAGAGAAAACCAGGAAGTGTACCATCATAAAAGACAAGGGACATGATCTTAAGGAAAGGTGATTATCAACATCAAGTTGAGGCCCCACTTACCCAATAGAAACAGAGAGAGAGAGTCTCCGCGCTGTCTACATGGGACGACTCCATCTTATTCTGTGTGAATTATGCTTCTGGGGTTGTGTCACACAGTAGCCCTAGAATGAGAAGTGAAAGAGTTTTGACTGAAAGTTCACTATAACAACCTTAGAGAACATAGTTCCAGTAGGTGGTGAGAAAATATGGTTGGTGGGTGTACTTAACCTATTAGACAAATAGTTGCCTCAGTGTGATTAAGGTTAAGAAGATTGAACAGTAAACAGTTGGCTAAAAAAGCTGCAAGAAACAAATGTAATCCCTTTCAAAATCTAAAATGTTTTTGGAGTAGAAGTGACAATTTGGTATAATTTATAGTATTTAATAACAACTTTTCTTTAGCTATCGTGAAGATCAGTTATTAAAAAATTTCATTAGTACTTTTGCCGAAACCGGTTTGGCTCAGTGGATAGAGCATCGGCCTGCGGACTGAAAGGTCCCAGGTTCGATTCCGGTCAGGGGCATGTACCTGGGTTGCGGGCACATCTCCAGTAGGAGATGTGCAGGAGGCAGCTGATCGATGTTTCTCTCTCATCGATGTTTCTATCTCTCTATCTCTCTCCTTTCCTCTCTGTAAAAAATCAATAAAATATATTTTAAAAAAAAATTTCATTAGTACTTTTATTTTTTAAATGCCATAAATTATAAGATATTTATAATTATATCTACAGATATTCACAAATTAATGGTGTTGAAGGGGGAAAAAAAGAACATATAAAAAAGTTATAGGGATTTGCCCTGGCTGAGTAGCTCAGTTTGTTAGAGCACCATCCTGATACACTAAGGTTCTGGGTTCAATCCCCAGTCAGGGCACAATCAAAAATCAATCAATGAACGCAACAGTAAGTGGAACAACAAATCGATGTTACTTTCTCTCCCTCTCCCTCTCCTTTCCTCTTCCTCTCTTCCTCTCTCCCTCTCTCCCTTCTCTCTCTTTCTAGAATCAATTTTGAAAATTATAGCAATTGGAGTTTTGCTTCTTAACACTCATGATTGTGTTTGAATTTTTTCCAGCTGACTCCATCACTGACCCATTTTTCCCCCGGACTACACAGATACTGTTGGAATACCAGCTAGGGAGATGGGTGCCACGTCTTCGTGAGCCACGAGATTTATATGGTGTCTCTTCTTCTGGTGAACTGAGCCCAACACGGTGGCCGTACCACTGTGAGGTCATTGATGAAAAAGTCCAGCATATTGGTAGGTTCTTAGCAGTTTTGGGGATTTAAACATATTAGTAAATTTACTTTGCCAACCTTAATTTTAATGAGAAGACTCCCAGTATCAGAATAGTCATTCCAACAGAAGTATAACATGAGCCATACAGGGGCAAGAAAAGTAGGTTGTATGGAAAATAATACAATCCTATATAATAAAAGGCTAATATGCAAATTGTCCCCCCAGGTGGGAGTTCGACCGACTGGGTGCTCAACCGGTTGCTATGACTGCACTGCAGCTGCCAACCGGCCCGATCTGGGCCCCAATTGGCTCCCCCCAACCCCCAGCCAGCCCCACCCCCGATTGGGCCACCCCACCCCAATTGGGGGGAGGGCCGGCTGGCCAACCACCCGCAGCCCCTCTCACTGGCCAGCCAGCCCCCCAAAAGGCCTCGATTGCTGGCCAGGCCTAGGGACTCCACCCATGCACAAATTCATGCACCAGGCTTCTAGTAATTAATAAGTAATAAATTGTAAACCTACTTTTGCCCACCACTTATATGTAATTTTTAATTTTCTAGTAGCCACATTTAAAAAGGTTAAAAAGAAACAAGTGGAATTGATTTCAAAACTATTTTTTATTTAACCCAAATATATCTTAAATATTTTATGTTCTTTTTTTGTATGGAGTCTTTGAAAACTGGTGTGCATTTATACTTACATTTCAATTCAATCCAATTTTTGTTCACATCCTTGCCACACTTATTTTGTTGTTGTATTTTTAAATAGTCATTCTAGTCCTAGCCGGTTTGGCTCAATGGATACAGTGTCAGCCTGTGGACCAAAGGGTCCTGGGTTTGATTCCGATCAAGGACACGTACCTGGTTGCAGGCTCCTCCCTAGCCCAGGTCAAGTGTGTGCAGGAGGCAACCAATGGATGTGTTTCTCTCACATCTGATATTTCTGTCTTTCCCTCTCTCTTCCACTCTAAAAAATCAATGGAAGGATATCCTCAGGTGAGGATTAAAAAAATAAAATAAAATAAAATGTTTAATAAATAAATAAATAGCCTAAACATGTGTGAGATACCTCACTGTGGTGCTGATTTACATTTCCCTGGGTATCAGTGACTTTGACAGTGCAATCCCTATCAAAATATCAATGGCATTTTTTCATAGGAATAGGAAAACAACTGTAAAATTTATATGGAACCATAAAAGCCTACAAATAGCCAAATCAATCTTGAGAAAGAAGAGCAAAGCTGGAGTCATCACACTTTCTGATTTCAAAATATATTACAGAACCACAGTAATCAAAACAGTATGGTATTGGTATAAAGACAGACATACAGACCAATCAACAGAATAGAGAGCCCAGAAATAAATCCACATATATACGTTCAACTGATCTTTGACAAGACTGTCAAGGATACACAATGGAGAAAGGATAGTCTCTTCAACAAATGAGAAAATTTAATATCCACATGCAAAAGATGAAATTGGACCTTTGTCATACACCATACAAAAAGTCAACTCAAAGTGTATTAAAGACTTAAACATAAGACCTGAAACTGTAAAACTCCTACAAGAAAACATAAGGGGAAAGCTTCATGACATTGTTCTTGGCAATGATATCATGGATATGACATCAAAAGCTTGGGTAACAAAAGCAAAACTAAACAAGTGGGACAACAAAAAGCTTCTGCACAGCAAAGGAAAGAATACAGTGAAAAGGCAACCTGTGGATTAGGAAAATTATTTGCAAACAATATTTCTGATGAGTTAATCTCTCAAATATATGAGGAATTTCTACAACTCAATAACAAACTCAACCAGATTTAAAAGATGGACTAAGGACTTGAATGGATGTCTTTCCAAAGAAGACACAAATAGCCAACAGATATATTTATTGACTTTTTATGTAATCTGATAAAATTCTTTGCCATTTTGTTGTTAAACTTTTTATTTTCTTCTTGATCTCTAAATACTCTCTATATATTCATGAGATTAGCTTAATGTTATGTATGTTGCATACTTTTTCTCAGTTTGTCATTTGCCTTTTATCTTTCTCATGCAGAAAATTTTAATTTTTATGTAATCATTTTTCTGTCTTCTGGATTTTGAAAATCTTATGTTTCTCCTAGCACATTTCAAGTCGTATTTTTTGTGATTAAAATATTTTAACATCAGGAACCATTTGGATGAAAGAAGTGAGCTCCCAATCCAACTCTATTAACTATCCTGTTATCCCAACAAAATTATTAAATAATTTTTTCTCTACTGGTTGGAAATGCCACAATTATTATATATTATTCCTAGGCCTAATTTTGAATTATATTCTATTCCACTAACCTGTCTACTCATGGTGACTCAAAACCTTTAATGCTATATTTTTTAAACTATAAATTTTGTTAGGTGGCAAACTTAGTTCCCCATCATTCCTTTTATTCTTTTAAAAAGTTTTCCAACTTCTTGGCTTATTATAGTTGGCCTTATTGTACGTATTTCTATATGAAATTTAAAATAAGCTTTCCTAGTTGTCCCAAAATTAATCCTGGTAACTTTATTGTGATCACATTACATTTATAGATTAAGCAAGAGCGACATCTTTACAATATTGCATCTTCCTAACCAAGAACAAGGTATGTTTCATGATTTACCCTAGTTTTTCTTTATCTTCCTTAGTACAATTTTAAATTTTTTTCTTGCACTTTTTCTAAGTTTTATTGTTAGGTATTTTATCTTGTTGCTTTAAATAAAATCTTTATTGCATATTATTTTCTAACTTGTTTTGTAGAGGAAAGTTTTGTGTATTAATTTTGAAACCACCCAACTCTTATTTCTAGTTTTTAAGTTATTGCATATGTGCTTTTATACAGTTATATCATCAAGTAAAAATGTAATTAAATCTCGTTTCCAGTTTTTGCATATCATACTTCTTTTTCTTGACTGAATGCATTGACTGGTATTTTCAAAAAACATTTAAAGTTTTATATTCATCTTGTTCCTCATTTTAATGGGAATGCTTTTACTGTTTTCTCTCTAAGCAAAATATTGGTTCATGGTTTGAATTAAATTTGATTTTATTAAGGAAGTATCCATTTATTCTTTATTACTAAAAAAGTTTACCCAGAAATAATTACTAAATTTTATTAAATGCCTTTCAATATTTACAGAGAGAAAGTGTCTTAAGTTTCTCATTATGACACATTAAAATATATGTATTTTATCCCTCACTGGAGGATGTTTTTATTAATTTTAGAGAGAGAGGAAGGGAGAGGAAAAGGGAAAGGGAGGGATAGAGAGAGCGAGAGAAAGAGAGAGGAAGAGAAACATCATTTGGCTGCCTCCCTTATGTGTCCCAACCAGAGATCGAGCCTGTAACCTAGGTATGTTGCCATGTGCCCTGACCATTTCTTTGATGCATTGGACAATGCTCCAACCAACTGAGCCATCTGGCCATGGAATGAACTGCTGTTAGTCATTGTGTATTATTTTGTGTGTTGCTAAAGCCTATTTGCTAATATTTTATATAGGATTTTTGCTTTAATATTCATAAGAATTTATATTTTTCTAGCGTTTGTACTTTTTTAGGTTTTAGTGTAAATATTATTCAAAATTCTTCCTTGTAGAAGAATTTCTCCTCTTCTAGAACAGTTTGAATAATACTGTAATTAACTGTTGGATAGAATTCACCTAAAACAGTCTGGACATATTTATTATTGTTATTTTAGATATACAGAGAATATTTTTATTGTAAAACTTCTTTGTTAGTTCTGTTTAGATGTTCTATCTATTTCAGGGACAGTTTTGATTATTTGTATTTTCCTAGAAACATAATGCGTCTATGGAGAACTTTTCATTTGTTTACAAAGATTTGGACAAGTATTCTTTTGTAATTATTATAATATCCTTTGACTTTGGGGGATTTTCCCCCTCTGTTGTCATATTTTTGTTAAGTATTTATACATTCTTATTTTCCTCTCCCCTGAATATGTTGGTGGGATATAATTATCTTGTTAGTTTTTCCAAAGAATCAATGTTTAAATATATTAGTTCTGTTGTGCTGTTTTCTTTTTTTAAAAATTTTTCTTTTTTTTAATTAAATCTTTATTGTTCAGATTATTACAGTTGTTCCTCTTTTTTCCTCCCCATAGCTCCCCTCCACCCTGTTCCCACCCCACCCTCTGCCCTTACCCCCGCCACCCACTGTTCTCACATCCATAGGTGTATGATTTCTGTCCAGTCTCTTCCCGCACACCCACACCCCTTTTCCACCCAGAATAGTCAGTAC